TTTTCTGTCCCCCACTTTTTTTTTTTTTTTTGGATTTTGTGCTTTTATACTCACTTTAATAGTCAGTATATCTGTATTTTCTATCTAAATTAAAGTAAATAGGGTTTAAATAATAAGTACTCTAGTTTGGAATATGTAGGACTACCAGTTGGTATACTTCCATATAAAGTATTTACAACTCAAAAAGCCTATCCTTCCTTAAGCTGTGGGATATTTCATATCTATTTTTTCCCCTCTTTTTAGTTCACTATTGCAAAAATAGCACTTTATAACAACGTTTTGCTTTGTTTTTGATAACAGAGACCCCTATGTTCACAAATGAACTTTTGATATAACAGTACAACCTAGCAGTTACAAAAAAGGATTTGAATTCTTTCCTGCACAGGAAAAAAAAATGTATCTCTATACCCATTCATAAAAGTAATCTTAGTGCTTTGTCATAATGGAGATATTGTTCAGGCAAAGTGAGGTTTCCAAATGTTAGAAAACATTCTATTTAATCTTTGCTTCTGTTAGAAACAAGCGTGGAGAATAGGGGCAAAGGAACAGCTTTAACTTATGGTTTTAATCTTAAATGTTTGAATCCCTGTATGTTTCCTTGAGGTTAATATTTTTATAGTATCAGATTAAATTAAATAGAGAATATATGGAAAGAATGGGAGGCAATTAACAGAGCCATATGAAATCAATGACAATTGCTTTTTAATCAGATTTCCACTCAGCTGTTTTTCACTACAAATAAATGAATTTTATAGTAAAAATATATAAATATTTGGAGTTGTAGATAGAGCTATATAATTTTAGGTTTATATTTATGATTTAAGGAATAAAGCAAGTCCTAGTTTTTAAGGCTCTTGCTATTAATAGCAATAGTTACATTTATTAAAGTTATAAAAGAACTGTAAGTCTAAAAAATGAGTCAGGGATTTTGCTAATGAGTTGCAGAATTGACTATTGGGGAAGGTTGTTAGGAGGCAGTGTTGAACAGTGCTAGAAATAATGAATGATGTGATACAAATACTTACAGGGGCAAGCTGAAAGATATCTCTCAACTATAAAGAAATGAATAGTTTTAGTGTTTTGATTATGCATTTTTCTTACCATATTCCTCCATTTCCCCCCCCCATACATTTTAGTGAGAGAGTGATTTCAATCCAAAACAACCACAATGGCCTTGAGAAGGCCATGTAAATTTAGGGAGTAAAAAGTTCAGTAGCATGGCAATTGATTATGAAGGTTTATTCTTTCATTCAATTAATTTAGTAGCATCTACAAATCCTCAGGCCCTCTGCCAGGCTCCAGGGATGTGGAGGCCAGCAAGACTACTGCCTTATCCGATAGTTTATGTTTGTAATAACTATCCTGAGTTATGGAAAACATGTTAAATTAGATTAGTTACATGTTATTTTAAGAGACAGAGCAGTATAGAGATCAACAAAGCTAATCTCTGGTGTTAGATGTCAAGATAATTGTTAAGCTTGCAGGAGGTGGGGGGATGGGTAGAGAAAAGAAAGGAACACAAAACAGGTGGTTGAGATTCTGGTAGTTTGTTTCTTGACCTGAGTGTTGGTTATATGAGTGTATTCACTTTGTGAATATTCACTGTGCTGTACAATTAATATTTGTGCTCTTTTCTGAATTTATACTTCAGTGAACATTTACATAAAATTGAAGAGAAAAAAGACAGGAAACTGTTAAATACATATTTAAAAGATATGTCTTCCTTTTCTTTTACAACAAAGCTTCCTTGTTTTTTTGTTGTTATATTCACTAGAAATTCTAGTAAACTCCATCAACAGTCCAATGATCCATCTCTCTGTAAGATTGCTAATGACACAATAACCATCTCTCAAGGCCACTCTCCAATCTTTCCTTCTTATGATGGCTCTTCTCTTTGACTTTGACCATTGTTTCCTTTAAAATTTTCTCTAAATTAGGATAGTTCAAAAATTTTTTTTCTCCTAATTAGTCTTTTGTGACATCACACTCTCGTGGTTCTCATTCTGGTTTTTAAATTAATCCCTCTCAGACCACTTCATGAGATTTTCTGGTTCTCATGAATTTCATTTAAAGTACATATGAGATGTCTAGTTAGGGAGACCACTTCATAGTCTGTGTAGGGGCCTGACCACCGCACTGTATTTCTGAAGCTGATGTTGAATACTAATATATGTCAACTATAATTATATACACGTATAGTCACAGGATGCGGAGTAGAGAGTGGGAATGGAGTCAATGGAATTGTAATAGGTAAGCATGATATCGGGGGTGGGAGGGCATTAGATGGGGTGGAGAGGGGTTGTTACTTTGTAAGGGCGAAAAGGATAACTATTGCATTGTTCTGTACACCTGAAACTAACAATAAAAAAATAAAATGAAAAAAATAAAATTGTTTTAGAAGGAAGCAGAAGGAGGAGGAATTAACATTTACTTCAAGATGTCTTATGTAGAGATCTAATAAAAACAAATTCCTCATTGAATGCCAAAAAAAAATACATATGAGAGGTCATTTTTCTTCACTATGGCTCCACTTGCACTATAATCAATAATAATATTGATTGACTATTATTGAATATTATGACCGGTGAATGGTACCCTTCCTAAAAACACAGGCAGTAAAAGCACAGGCAATAAAAGAAAAAAAAATAGGTAAATTGGACTGCATAAAAATTAAAAACTGTGCACTGAAGGACATAACCAACAGAGTGAAAAGGAGCTCACAGACAGAGAAATATTTGCAAATCATATATCTCATAAGGGGTTTATTTTTAGAATATATAAAGAACTACAACTCAACAATAGAAAACAAAATACCCAGTTTGCCCAAAAATGGGCAAAAGACTCAAATAGATATTTCTTCAAAGAACATAAAGAAATAAGCACATGAAACGATGCTCAACATCACTAATCATTAGGAAAATACAAACCAAAACTATATGAGATACCACCTTATATCTACTAGGATGGCTGTCAAAAACTGAAAATAACAAGTGTTAATAAAGATGTGGAGAAAGTGGAACCTTTATACACTGTGACAATGTAAAATGGTGTAGTCACTATGAAAAACATTCCTTAAAAAAATAAAAATAGAATTACCATGAGGTCAAGCAATTCCACTTCTGGGTATCTACCCAAATGAATAGAAAGCAGCATCTCAAAGAGATATTTGTACACCATGTTCACAGCAATATTATTCACAATAGCCAAACAGTGTGGAAGCAACCCAAGTACCCACTGACAGATAAATGCATAAACAAAGTGTGGTATATACATATAACATAGGGTTATTCAGCCTTTAAAAAAGGAAGGAAATTCTGATACATGTTAAAACATAGATAAACCTTGAGGACATTATGCTAAGTGAAATAAACCAGTCACAAAGAAACAGATACTTAGATTCCACTTATATGAGTTACCTATAGTAGTCAAATTCATCGAGATAGAAAATGGAATGGTGGTTGCCTGGTGTGTGGGGTGAAGGTGTGGAAACTTATTGTTCAGTAGGTACAGAATTTCAGTTTTGCAAGATGAAAAGAGTTCTGGAGATGGATGGTAATGATGGTTGCACAACAATGTGAATATGTTAATGCCACTGAATTGTAGACTTAAAATGGTTAAGATGGTAAATTTTATGTGTATTATACACCATTAATTAATTATATACATACACAAATAAAAATATATTATAGAGCTATCCAAAAAGGAATACCCGAGATTTTAAATATTATTATGCTTTCTGATCCTTGGATAATAACTATAATCTCATTTCCTGGAACCTCCCTTTTCTCTCTTCAGCAGAATACCAGCCAATGTTGTAACCTTTCCCACTGCCAGAAATCTTGGCACTAGCTGACGCTTTCATTCTCTCCTTGTTTTCTAACAAGTCAATGCAGTCAGAGGGCTTCTTAAACTAGACACCATCCTTCCTCTCAGGTGGCTTATATTCCAGTATAATACAATCAGAACACAATGTGGTGGTACCGATACCTGGAAAGTTCACCTGAAGTCCTGATGGTGTTGAATTCAAGAAGGCTTCCTATCTAAATAGTACCGTTGCACGTCTAGGTGACAAAGTGGTGTTAATAATATTATAAAGCTGAGAAGTTTTACTTTGACAAGACACACTGTAAGAAAGATAGCCCATCAAGATGAAATGCTTATTTTTGTTCTAAATAATTATATAGGTAAAAATGGATATGATCAACACATAGAAGACTCCTTTGTGGTTTACACAGAAAAAAAAAACAAAAAACAATTCAAACTATAGGGTCCACAAGTATAGACAAGAGCTGTCTGATTAACAGGTGCTTCAAGGGTCAGGAGTGAAAGTAGAATTATAGAACTCAAGTAACTATGGAAAATTTACTACTAGATTTTTGTAGTGGCCAAGAAACAAGTGCATACCACTTATGATGTCATTTATTTAATCTGAGTAGAAAAATTAACAGATAAACTCAAGGCAACTCCCCAAACCTTCCCATATGATTGACTGAAAAGTTTGTCATAAAAGCAGATGCTTCAACTGAAAAAGTTTCTTTCACAGCTTGGTCTCTGAGTTTTGTAACTGTCAACCAAGTTGAGGAAAAATATTACAATGTGTTTGAGCAAATGGGACTCCATTACATGCCTTTCCAGTTAATACATAAAAGATGTTTAAAAGTATTAAATGAAGTTGTATTTGTTCTTTTTCTTCACCGAGATTCTTATTGATTCTATTAAATGTTCCATCGTATTTTTTCTGTTAGGAAAAAATGCATAAAACATGGTTACATCAAAAAGTTTGCAATTCTTTTCTTTTTTTATTAAGCAGAAATTCACCATTTGGTAAAATTAGTATATTTTTACACTTTCAACATCACTAAATTTAACAAACCTGTTTCCTTCAGTGATGGGAGAACACCTTGCAATTCTGGCCATTTAATGTAATGATGTAATTCAAGTCTGTTATTCTTGAGTGAACAATAAACTCCATTATATTTTTATATTTAAAGATTTCAATACATTTTAATAAACAAAAATGTGTTGTTCGACTAGACTTTTGGGGATATCAAAGCTAATCAGTCCTCCAAATTCATCCGAATTAACTTGGGGAAAAAAAAGAGAAGTATTTAACTCATAAAGATTTTGACTGGGATTTTCTATTTAAGTTTCTTGGTAAATGTATCAATTTCTAAACCAAACCTGTTTCTCCTGGGTCTTACATTTCAGTGAATGAAGTTGCCCTTCTCCCACATCAGCTCAAAACCTCAAGCTATGCTTTGATTTCTTTCTCTCTTTACCCCATCCACACCTACATAGTTTTTACTTTTTCTATTTTTTTATACCAATTCTACTTTTACAGTATCTCTTGCTTGCATTTCCCCCCACCAATCTCAAAGCCTACAGGATTATTGAAATAGTCTTTAAACTCAACTCCCTACCTTTGAATTCTTACTTATCCAGTCCATCCCACGCAATGCTGCCGTATCAATTTTCTTAGTATACAGTGCTAATGCTAATCTTCCCTCCTACAACTTCCTGTTTTTAATTCAGTTTTTGGAGCATGCCTGGTATTCCATACACTCAAGGAACTATTCACAATATAGTTCTCTAGCATTATTTCCAACTACTACCTTTTACATGCTCCAGGCTCCTAGGTCCTTTAACTTTCTACATCCATGATGTTTCCTTTATCTAGGATGTGCTTTTATCACCCTCAAGCTCAGATTCTGAACCCCTTCCAAAAGGCTTCATTGCTCTATCCTCTGAATTCTCATAATACTATACTGTGCATGTATCTCCCATGTTGTACAATTTTGATCATGTACTTAATTTTTCATTTACACTTTAATCCTTTGATAGATTTCAAACACGTTTTGAACAGGATTTATAGGTGATTTATCTTGTTATAGTTTCAATTGTTTGATAAATATTCACTGAATTACTTAATCTATAAGATTGAAAACCTCAAGACTTCAGGTGTGAGATATGTAAAAGAAGGGAATTTACCACCTTTGGATAATATTATGCATTTGTAAGTCTAAATAGGGGAATTGACTTCAGCAATCCCAAAATTATTGTCATAAATTTGAAGCTAATACAGAATTTACTACAAAGTCATTACCTTATATTTCACATGGTGATTAATTTCTCAATATTAAGAGTTCCACACAGAGGATACAAGTACAACAAATCTAACAAAACAACTTCCATAATCTATTATTTTGCCTGTTGTCTGGTTCTGATGATTTTGACCTTGGCTTTTCCATAGGAGGCATCCAATGTATGAAGCAGTAGAGCTGATTACTGCACACTGCCCTCTGGTGAGCCACAAAGGTAATCTAAAGGGGAAAATTCAGGGTTGAGAGTATAACTCACTCTCCATGCCCAGGGTGCCAGCTGGTGCCAAAGAATGATGTCATATTTTGCGATGTGATCACTTCTCTCAATTGTGCTTTTCTGAGTCTACCAATTCTTTCCATGCAGGTCATCAAATGGCCATCAGCTGGTAAAACTTTCCTCTTCATTTAGCCAAAAATGGATCCAGAATAGTTGTAATGAGTCTAACTAATCCAAGCTTAAAAAAAAACAAAAACCCAAAACTACTGTTACTTTCACCATGACATTTCCCTGCATCTTCAAATATCCCCAAAGCATTGCATGAAAACAATGGCAAAAAATATTCTCCTCAGTTTGCAAGAAAAACAGACTCTTAGTAATTAACATGCTAAATTTTCCTATATCCACCTTAACAAGTCCTATTTCATGTATAAAAATATAGTGCTTTCTTATTCTTAAAGAGAATGCCAAAAACCAACCTAATAACATTAGAAATGCTGTTTGAGTTGGAAGGACCACAAGTGTATCTGGCTTTTGACCATATTAAAACTGCCATATTGCTGGGTGATATTATTCATTTATTCATTACCACCTGACCAAATACCATCCCTTACTAAATCAATAACTAAAAGATTCAGAATAGACATGGAACTACTCAAAACTCATATTTTAGGAGGGATACAAATAATCCAGTATCCAATGAGGTATTCCATTGGCTTCTGTAATCAACTCTATTTACTTTTGCACAGAAGGACATGTGTTATTTTGTTATCCTATTCCTGACATTGGGAAACTACATTTTGTAAGAGTGATACCAGCAATGAATGATCTTCAAATAAATGGAAATTTTCTTTCTGAAGAAAAAAAAGCTTGTAGAAACATGAATAAGTACCTTCCTGCTGTTTAATGGAGTGCTAATGTTGTAAAAAAAAAAAAGTCCACTTTTATAAAAATTTTGACTATCTTAAAAGTCCAAGCATCTGATCTTGCTTTAGAAGGTTCTTACCTTCTAAAATAGAAATATAGTTTTTCCTTATGTTCTTTATGATGTAGGTGAAAGTTGAAATTATAATAGAACTAAAATCCTTTGTTAACTCTCAATCTTTTAACTTTCTGGGTCTGTTTACATGCAAACTCAGTAAAATGTTTTTCACTTATTGTTAATTTATTTTACTTTAAAATAAGAAAAACTTATGTGGGAGGTTTAACACTGGTTTCTGCCGAATTGTTGCTTACATGTGGATAAATAGATCCTGAATTCAGGGAGAAGTATAAATAAAATAATATCAAAGGTCCTTTAACTTCCTAAATTCTGTTTTCAATGATATCGATATCATACATTGGTAAATAATTACTTTAAACCTTTAAATATTAACCATATATAATATGCTTTTAAAGTCAATGTTTGTTGAATATCATGTAACTGAAAAAGAGGGAAAGTTGTATAAATCAAATTTATTTTTCACCTTAGAAACAATTCTACTCACACTTTGATTACATATCTGTGAACTCCATGTCAAGTCACCATTTAATCAAATAAGATATATCTGAATTCTATATTGTAGTAAACCCTTCTAAAATAAATATTTATAAATCAAACAGGGACACTGATAGCATTGTATGTGATATAATATAATATTATCATGTATTATATAAAGTTCTTCTTTTGCTTTTTTTATATATAATTTGCATTATGAATACCAATCAAAAAGTAAAAGACAGCCACCATGGTCATAGAATTTAAATGACTTACCATATTTGCCGGCGTATAAGACGACTCGGCGTATAAGACGACCCCCTAACATTTCCACTCAAAATACAGAGTTTGTTATATGGTCGGCTGTGTGCGATTTTGCGAGTGTGGTAAAATCACATAACAGCAAAATCGCATAACAGCCGAGCATACACCCAGCAGCGCTGCTGATGCCTGAACAGTATGTGGAATGAAGTAGGCGGGCATCGGGAGGCCACTATGGCACGGGGCAAGCACTATGGGCAGTCTATCTGAAGTGTACCTGGCGTATAAGACGACCCCCCACTTGGAGGCATATTTTTCAGGGCCAAAAAATCGTCTTATACGTCGGCAAATACGGTATTTAAAAATGACTTCGGTCATTAGTTGATTTATGATGTTGATACCTTATCTTGAAGGCCTTATCTTCATTATAGGCATTTTCAGTTTTTATAAATTAAATAAACTTTATTTTTTAGAGTACTTCTAGGTTCACAGCAAAATTGAGTGGAAAGTATGGAGAATTACCATATCCCCCTATCTCTACACATGCACAACATACCCCACTATCAGCATCTCACACCAGAGTGGTATATGTATTTCAATAAATGAACCTACATTGACATGTCATTATACTCAAAGTCCATAGTTTACATTAGGAGTCATTTTTGTATTGTATATTATATCGGTTTTAACAAATGTATAATGACATGTATCCAACATACAAAGTATTTTTACTGCTTTAAAAATCCTCTGTGCCATGGGGGGAGGGGGGTTGTTACTTTGTAAGGGTGAAAAGGATAACTATTGCATTGTTCTGTACACCTGAAACTAACAATAAAAAAAAAAAATCCTCTGTGCTCTGCCTATTCATCTCTCCCTCTCTCCTAACCTCTGACAAATGCTAATTTTTTTTTACTGTCTCCACAGTTTGCCTTTTCCAGTATGTTATGTAGCCTTTTCAAATTGGATTATGTAATCTTATTTATGTTTTTTCTCTATATCTTCTCATGGCTTGATAGCTCATTTCATTTTAGCACTGAATAATTTTCAATTGCTTGGATGAAACACAGTTTATCTACTCACCTCTGCAGGACATTGTGGTTGCCTTCAGTTTTAGCAATTATCAATACAACTACTATAAACATCTGTATGCAAGTTTTTTGTGTGTATGGGCATAACTTTTCAGTTCATTTGGGTAAATATCAAGGAGCATAGTTACCGAAACATATGGTAAGAGTATGTTTATTTTGTAAGAAACTGCTACTGTCTTCCAAAGTGGCTGTATCACTTTTCATTTCCACCAGTAATCAATGAGCACTCCTATTGCTCCACATTCTCACCAGCATTTTGTGTTGTCAGTGTTTTGGAATTTGATTATTCTAATAAGTGTGTGGGAGTGTCTCATTTTACTTTGCAATTTCCTACTGACATATGATGTTGAACATCTTTTCATTGGCTTACTTGCCATTTGTACATTTTCTTTGGTGAGTTGTTGGTAAGGTTTTTGGCCCATTTTTGAGTTGTTCATTTTATTATTGTTGAGTTTTTAGAGTTTTTGTGTATTTTGGATAACAGGCCTTTATCAGAAGTGTCCTTTGCAAATATTTTCTCCCAGACTGTGGCTTGTCTTCTCATTTACTTGACATTGTCTTTCACAGAGCAGAAGTTTTTACTTTTCATGAAGTTCAGCTTCTCAATAATTTGTTTCATGGATTGTGCCTTTGGTGTTTTACCAAAAAGTCATCAGCATACAAGAGGTTACTATGTAATCTTCTAGAAATTTTATAGTCTTGCATTTCATGTTTAGCTCTGTGATTCATTTGAGTTAGTTTTTTGTGAATAGTGTAAGGTCTGTGTCTAGATTCATTTTATTACATGTGGATGTACAATTGTTCTAGCATCATTTATTGAAAAGACTATCTTTGCTTATTGTATTGCCTTTCTTCCTGTCAAAGACCAGTTGAATATATTTAGATGATTCTATTTCTGAGCCCTCTATTCTGTTATATTGATCTATTTTGTCTATTTCACCAATATCATGTTGTCTTGATTATTACAGCTTTATAGCAAGTCTTGAAATTGTGTAGTATCAGTCCTCTGACTTTGTTTTTCTTCTTCGATATTGAATAGGCTATTCTGGGTCTGTTGCCTCTCCATATAAACTTTAGAATTATTTTGTCTGTATCCAAAAAATAAATAGCAATGATTTGATTGAAATTGCATTGAATCTATAAGTCAAATTGGGAAGAACTGATGTCTTGACAATATTGAGTCTTTCCACCATGAACATATAATATCTCTCCATTTATTAAGTTCTTTGATATCGTTTTTTTTTTTTTCCAGCTGAACCATCCTGACACCTGTTGGCAGCTCAGCTCAGGCGGGCATTGAACAACTGTTGTTCAGAGCTCACACCTTGAGCGAGCTCTTAAGCAAATGAACCACTCGGCCAGCCCCTTTGATGTCTTTTAACAGAGCTTTGTAGTTTTCTTCATATAACTCTTGTACATATTTTGCATATTTTGTTATATTTATACCTAAGTATTTCAAATTTGGAGGTGTTAATGTAAATGGCAATGTATTTGTAATCTCAAATGCCACTTGTTCATTGCTGGTATATAGAAAAGCAATTGACTTTTTTATATTAACCTTGTATCTTGTAACCTTGTTATAATCACTTTTGATTCCAGGAGTGTTTTGATTCCTTCCGATTTTCATAGACAATCATGTCATTTGCAAAGAAAGATAGTTTTATTTCTTCCTTTCCAAGCTGTGCACCTTTTATTTCCTTTTTTTTTGTCTTTTATTAGCTAGGACTACTATTATGATGTTGAAAAGCAGTGCTGGGAGGGGACATCCTTGCCTTGTTTCTGATCTTAGCAGAAAAGCTTTGAGTCCCTCACCATTTAGTATAATGTTATTTGGGAAAGTGTGGTGAAGCATGGATTTTAAGAAAATAAAACTGAAGATAGGGAGATCACTTAAGAATTTGTCCACAAAATTGGAGGAGTACCTGAATTGGCTATAAGTATTAGGAAAAAGGAGAGAACAGAAAAGAGAAGACATGGCTGAAATCATTTAGAAAGTTAAGTGATCAGGATTTGGTGAACATGGACAATGAAAGCAAAAGAAGTTTAGGGAGGCTCTCAGTTTTCTAGCTGGAGTGATTAGGTAGCACCGTCAAGAGAAGAAAGAGCAGGCTTAGGGATAGAAAATTATGCATGTCCTTTGAGATATGTTTTTTGAGACATGCCCTCTGAGATGTCTTGGGATAGTCAGAAGAAAACGTCCATCAGGTAGTAAGATATATGAATGCAGAGCTTGGGAAGTAGTCTGAATTGAGTATATAGATTCCAATATTACTGTCTAGTCTGTCATTAATTTAAAATTGTAAAAATGCAACAAGGGAAGTAAAAGAGTTATTTCAGAAATTTGGGGGGGTCTAATTTTAATATCGGGGATAGGGCAAAAAGAAACACGTTTTCTCATTTATTTAGGAAATATTTACTTAATGTTTCTTATGTGAAAGACATTGTTTTAGATGCTGTGGATACAAAAATGAAACACATAATCCATGTCTTCAAGGAGTTCACAATATACTGGGCAATAGGTATAAGTAAATTATTATAATGTAGCTTGAGAATGGCTATAATAATGGCATAAATAGTTTGTAATCAGGCTTCAGAGAATGGGCAACTGATATAGCTTAGAAATTTCAGAGATTTCCCAGGGGAAAGAGTATGCCTGGAAAAGGTGACAACATGTTCAAATGCACAAAGATGAGAATGCTTCAGCCACTGGAGAAAATTGCAAGTGGGTTAATATGCCAGATATAGAGATACACCACCAGATTCTCCTTCAAGGAGGACTTCCTACTCAGTTGCAGGAAGTACCGCCAGCCTCTCACAGCTGTCAGCTTTTTCAGGGTCTGCTTAGGTGCAGAAAGTTGTCTTTCCAAAGGTCGTACCCTTCTGAGGGTAATCTCTTGTGGTAACTGAGAGAAGTGATAATACAAAGGTCTTGTCATTTTGACCTGATGCAGGACTCTGAAAAGCATACTTGTTTCACAGCTTTCTGCTGGGTCAGCTAAAACTCTGTTCTGTCAGCATCACTGTTCAACTTATCCCTCTGCCCAACCCTGCTTCCATTTTCCTTCCTATCAAAGGTTTGATCCCTAATAAGCATCCTGCACTCCAAATTCTGTCTCAGCTTCTGCTTCCTGAAGATGCAACCTATGCCACTGGTACAAGGAATGGGCTAAGAGAATAGGTGATAAGATAGGATTTTGACCTGAGTCATTCATTGCCTGCTGGCAATGAAAACCTCATCATTGGTGGTACATGGGACACAGATGGTTCCTTGTACAAGGTAGTGGTCCAATTGTGAAAATTTTCACTGTTGGGTAATTGGCAAAATGGATCAGGTATTTGCGATATATAGAGAATACGGTAGCTATAAAGCTAATGGGATTGGCTATCTATTGCTAAGCAGCACTAATGCTCGACAGAAGGATAGTGAACAATTGAGAGTAAATAACATGCAATTAAAAGCCAAGTGGAAGG